TGCCAAGCTTCTAATAATTTTCTGGTATTTTGAGAATCGCCTCTATTCAAGATCTCCACATTTTTCCAGTGGAATACATATCCACAGTTGTCCACACTCATTGATATAAGTGAGGATATGTCATGGCGTTCGACCGCCAATTGATATTCATGCCGGCGAAGATGATGAAGGCGTCCGCTTTGTTCGATGTAGTGTTCTTGACAATCAATCAATCAGAAAAATCATGCACAAATGTAGAATCAAGGATCAGATCAAAGGGAAATACAATCAAAATAATGAGGTAGAAAATGACAAATCAACAATAACCAGTAAAGATCGAGGTCTGCAGAACAAGTTGTTAGCCATATGTGGAGAAATTCGAACATTCCAATTCTACCTGAAGTTTGTGCTGATGATGTCGTTCAGAGGAACAATGAAAGCTCCCGTCCAGCTCAGAGAACGAAACCCCATCAAAATTATTTCATTGTACTTTTGTTTAATTACATTATGAATTGTACTAATTAGATTTGTATTATTAGTTTGTTCAGAGATTTTTTTACATCTATACTTCACTATGCGTTGTATTCAACTGAATTGACTAATAGGACAAAATATTATTTATTAAACATGTTACTTTAACACGCTCACCTACATTAGTGTTGTAAGTAGAGAATACTGTTTATTTTGTTTTCTTATATTTATCATTGTAATCTCTTACATTTCTAGAATTGTTTTTACAGAAAAAGAAAAGAACTTTATTAGTTTCTTTTTCAAATTTACAAAAAAACACTGCACAAAAGTTATGTTAACCAGTGACATATTTCTGTAGATTATATAGGTAAACAAATTCAATAGATAACCAACTGGTTATCTACTTCAAGCTTCAACTACTTTTCCTTATTTGACTACAGTTACTTTATTTTCTTTTGTTTAATGTTCACTTACCTATGTTTGTGTGTGCTAGTTCATGTATTGATTGAAAATTCTGCTTAACTAATAACAAGCATCTAATTTATACTTTATTTATTTGTCATTTGTTGATTTATCCCAATGAAAAGTGAAAGTTAATGGTTAAATATTTTACTTTTTATCTTCAATATTTAGCATGAGATTTTTAAATTATTACATATTAATAAACTTCAAATATACGCCAAATGACCTGAACATAACATTTTGATACCATATAAATTTAGCTGAGATAACAGATAAATCGATTTCCAGGTAGCACAATTTTTGTAAGACTTTAAACACCATAATTTAGTACCTCTTCTTTAAATTTCATGAGCCGACTGATATTAGTCATAGGGACTTTATAATCATATCGATATTAACTGCTAGTATTCATAGCTTACCTCGAACTTTAATACAACTATCCAACCTTACAATGAAATTCATAAAGCACCAATTTTGTCTCATTTGTCTATGTTTATACCATTGAATAATTAGATATAATTTAATCGAACAATCTTGTATGTATAGCCTAACAATAATATATGATGAAAATCCAGATGACAATATGATTTTCATGGGAGAAATCAAAAGTCAACAATTCATTATATATGTAAATTATATTTCAATCGCTGAGATTGTTTCAAATATAATTTACATATATAATGACTTCTCTATACTCGGCGCCCAATATCTGTCAAACGATTCGTTCTAATCTTGACGAATATTCATATAAAAGTCAACAATCTCCACAAGCCTATGCTGTTAATTATCATGTGCTCACTAGTGGCTAGCTTCAAGATGAATTTTCGGGAGTTCTAGTAAAATGTCATGACCAATGGAGTTCAACCGTGTCTGATGTGAGGCAGTGAATTAAGTGTTGTACAAGATCATGAACTGGTTGAAGTTAACACCGTTGGATGTCGGCTCAGAGGTCTGGAGGTTTGGCGTTAGCAAACGAGGCTAAAGGTAATGGGTTGGAGTCCCAGTTGTAGGATTGTGGGTGCGCACTAGTGAAGAGTTCCATACTAAAACGAAACGGCTGCCAAGTGCTTCCAGGTTTTCAATGCTGGTCTAACATTGATCCATTTATGAACTTAATCGAAATCAAGAAGGGCAACAAGAAACTGCTATTATGGGAAATAGTACAACAGTAGGAAAGCTATCAAACTATTTTTCAACGTTTCGTTTATTTTTTTCGATTCAGAAGTTCCAGCAATATGATATAATATAAACTCATACTTATTTTAAAAAATGATTGAGGGTTGACTAAAAATGGAGGAAAAAAATAGACAAATAGTTAGTACATGATGAAATAGTAAGTTAAATCAAAATGAGATGAATGAATAAATAACTACTATCATATTATTACATAACCCGACTTCATTAATAACGATTATAGCAATAGGTTAGTAGCTAACTGGACTCATGATCCTTGCACGTAATGCATTGGCGTTTAGAACAATTAGTATTGCGTTCAAATAGTAGTGGGAACATTAACACTGAGGTATGCAATTGTGACCTCCTTAGTATTCCTCTTATTCACTTAACGAATTTCTAGTATCATGGCAGTTATATGACTAGTTCCGGTCTCAGCTCACATCAAATTTCTCTTTCAGTTATTTCATTAAAACAAATCATAAATGAAGAAAAGCCACGTTATCGTATGATAGTCTGTATTCTACCGCCTAGTTGCTGAAACGTGGAAAGACAACATGTAAAATAAAAAACCATAAATTGACTGAGGTCACCTAAATAAAATTGTATTGCTAAGTAAAACATGTTGCATTGGTCATGGCATCAGTATGTCATCACGTGTTATTTATTTTTGAAAAGTACATTGAAGGTTCATGTAATGAATCAAGCGTGATCCCGAAAAACATGTGAAATCACATGCTTTTTGTGCAATTACTTCTATAAGGTGAAAAAACCATTGTCCAGCTTAAAACCGTAGACAGCACTACTAAATTTATCAAGTACAAAAGTAGTACAATCGCTGTAACACTGAGTAAGACAATATTCATACCTCATTCTTAACATCAGTTCCTTGGAGTTTGGAGATACACCTTGTCGATGAGTGTCAATTATCTCAAAAATTTTATTTCCAGGACTTATTTAAACGAGAAAAAGCCTGTCCACGTTCCATATCGTTCATCTGCAAAGATTTCATAATAATCATTATCGGTTTGTGGAGATAGTTGAGTTTACTAACCGATCTAAATTAGGTAAGCAGTGAAAACATGGAAGCACTGCGTGCTGTTGCATCTTGTTACAGGACTCGTCTACATTGTGCATCCACAATCTTGCACCCTGGAATCGAACCCAGGACCTTCGTTCTCTCGCGCTAATGTCCAACTCTTATGCATTAGAATACCATAATTCGGTAAATAATATATTGCCTGATTCCCTGAGATTACATTGCAGAAATAAAATATCCTATCTCCCTATCTATTCACTAAATGCTTGAAGATAATTATAAGTTTATAGCGAGTAGTATGCGATTGGATATTTTCATTAAATCAATCTTTTCAGCCTATAATTCAAGTAAATTTATAATTGTGCTTGTTTATCGATAAATTTCGTTATGCATTTAAGTAATATTAAAAATAATAGTATGAGCTGTAGTTCTAGTAGATGTAATTCTCAAAGGACTAAATATCGTTAGGAGTTTCATGATACAAACTATCGAGAGAATAGCGTTATCCTTAGTTACTGACAAACTGGAAGTGATTTTCTTTCTTAAAGTATTTGTCATTAGTGCATTGACAAGTACTACTCATGAATATAATTTATTTGATCGAGATCATGATCCGGTTGATTTTAGACCACCATTGAAAACCTGAAAGCACTGGACGGCTATTTCGTCTTATTGTGGGAGTCACACGGCCGTCCTTAACTAATAGGTTTTCAATGGTGGTCTAACATCAATCGGTTAATGATCTTAACCAAAAACTTATTGATCTCCACAACTCCATACTGATAATATAAGTTTTGTTCATTCTTTTGGTTTTTATGGACACAAAATTTTATTTGCTTCTAATATCTTATATTCTTATCTTTTAACTTCATTGAAGACCGTATAAAATATCCTTAACAAATCGATCTAATAATTTTTATAATTAAATGTGAAACTTTACAACTGAAAGATGTATTCACTCTCTATGTTAATACTGTAGTGAACAAAACACCAATGGGCACAATAGAATGTGTTTAACAACCAATTACATAGCTTGTTAATAAAATCTAACAACCATATAGTAAATGCTCAATTCGCAAAATGACCATCGATTGTTTCAAAATGGCCCGGAATTCATTGTTCTTGTATTTTCATACAAATTGCATTCTGTTTCCAGTCTTTACTGTCCGATCCTCTTATCTCTCTGCTGCCAGATGTTCTGTCCACGAAAAACGTCATATACTACTCATGTCTATATAAGTAACATACACCATATTACTAATCACCTAACTTTAAATGCATACAAAGCTTTTAATGAGAACCATTGTTTTTCTGATCCAGAAAATTTAAAGTTTTCAAAACAAACTTCTGAAGCCATATCAATTGTACAAAAGAGATTTCACTACTTCACTCACGTTTTCATTATCTTAAAGAGAAGTTGTCAGAATTTTAATGATGAATTGAGTCACGATTAGAACACCCTAAATAATTCCTATCAGTATAAACTAATAAGATGAAACTCACGGAAACTTTGTTCTGCGAATCCATGAATCGGTACTTATTCAAGAGCGTTACATTTACTAATTGTACAACTCACGTTTATTACTATACAAATGTCACTGTTATTTTACAATATATAGCTGTATTATCTTGAACGAGAGGCAATTCTTACTCTGAGTTCGATAACCTTTGTTAAATATCCATCTGATTTATATTCATCATAAAACTAGGTTTATACTTCTCGAATTCGCCTTAATCTTAGTATGATTGACATGTCAACAAATCAAAGATAATTGAAGACACAGTCTATTAAACACATTAATCAGTAGTCTTATCAATTACTGTCCTATGTTTTCATGCAATCATATTAAATCAAAAGACTTATGGAACACTTGTTAGGGGTAAATGTTTCATTTAATGGGATTTTGATAAATGTTCATAAAGAAAGCTGAATATGTATGCTTTTTATGATGTATATTGGATAAAATTTTTATAAATCTAATTTATTGTTAAAATGAACATTCATAAGGAATTAAGAAGTAGTAAATGAGGAGCCTGATTGAAATTAAAGCTGAATTATTAATTACACAAACATACATAATCATTTATTGTATATATTCATGCATTATGGTGAGTGAGTGAGAGAGTGAATAGGTAGGTAGAAAAGCATACAGATATGCCTGTAAAGATGTTATGATCAAATTAGAAAAAAGCAAAGAAGATAAAAAAATCGAAAGCCACATCATTTGGTCTACTTTTGTTTCACATAAAACTTCATTAGATTAGAATTCATGGAATTATGAAAACTGCAAAAATGGTTAATTTACCGAGTTAATAATAAAAACTTTTTTCTCAAGATTCAACATAGAAAGAAAGAATATGGAAAAAGATTCTCCAGAAAAAAAAACATTTCTTTTTTTCAAGGACAATGTTTAATCTCATGTTTCTTTTACTTGGAAGGACCAGCCAAAACTTTCTTAATTAATTCTGTAGGCGAAAAATAAAGAAAAATCGATTATTATAAGTAAAGATGGATAGTGGCTATCAGTGGAATCCAGGACGCGCGTTTCGTCCTATTTGGGACTCATCAGCTGGATGTACCTGCATCTCAGAGTTGATGTTCACTCTGGAACTCGAACCCATTACCGTTCGCTTCAAACGCCATCGCGTTGTCCACTTAGCTACTGAGTCCTGATATCACGTGAAAAATCGATCAGTTCTGTATGAGAACATCTTATTTATTAGTCAACAGAGTATATTTCATATATATATATATATATATATATATATATATATATATATATATATATATATATATATATATATATTCTTAAAATACAACGTGTATAATGATGAAACTTGGGATTCATAATTCATTTCTTAGGTGGAACATTCAGTGTCATTTACGTTTAACAATTAATAAATCGAAATGAATAGCTTTCCACTTATTCATTATCATCTCTTAACAAATGATAGTTAGTTATGTAAAACAAAATAATGCTTGTTTCGTAGAGGTAGAATTATTGTAACTACATTAAACATTTTCAAACTACGATACCATAATAAGGCAGAAGTAACAACGAAAACTTGTGGAAACTGCTAGAAGTATGTACTATAACACCAAACAACTGGTCAATGAATATCAGGAATTAAATCGACTGTAAAGCATTTTCCAAATAACTCGAAGATTGTATGCATGATCCTTGTATAGATAGATGGTAATCTGCATTAATAGGAAAGTTAATATTCTCATTAATAGTTTGCTGTTCCTTAATCATGCTATCAATGACTTTTGTTATTGATGAAAGATATAGACTGAGTCATGACAGATGTAATTTTTTGAAAAATACAATCGCTTGACTTTGTGTAATTCAAACATTAAACATAGTAATTACGTCGTTTAAAATCAAATTCTCATACGCCAATTTTTAGTATGATTCCTGTAACACAAACTTTGATGTAATTTATATGAGTAGCTCGAAATAGGACATTAAAAATTAGTATTTTATAAATGAATCTTGAAACCAAATATACTAAAGGGACAATTTATACTTTTTGATCCAAGTTTTTTGGAAGTGTACTCAAAATAAACCATACCAATAAATACAGTTTCAAACACTGACCTTCATATTTGATATTTCCGTCCAGATCTTCACGTAAATCAATAAATTTCAAAATGGCATCCACTTCTGGATCTTCAAGACGTTCACCTGTAATTAAACAAATGCAATAAATATATGTAACTTTAAAATTAAACTAACCATAACCTGTTAAAACATGTCTCATTTCAGCAGCTGAAATAAATCCTTGTCCTTCACGATCGAATGTTTTAAAAGCTTCCATATAATCAGCATAGGTGCCAGTTTCTTTCTCTTTAAGAATAGCTTCATAACAAGGAAGAAACTCATCGAATTTGTATTGCTTTTCTCCTGTAATAAAGAATATGAAAATAAAACTGTATTTTACTTATTGTTAATTACCAAACAAGTTTTACTAAAAATAATGAAAACATAAAAACAAAATCAAATAGAACTTTGTTGAATATTTAGACTTCAAAACTACTCAGATTATTTGTAAGTTATAAATATATATTTATAAGTGTACCATCAGAGTGCTGCGTGTAATAACATTAACAATGAATAAACAAATCTAGATAGAGTTAACATTAAAATTATTTGTCGAAGTCAGCATTTATTGAGAATTTCTGCAAAATGAGAAGCCATAAGTCTAACTCATTAGCATCATACATCTTAATATTTGTCTCAAAAATTAAAGAACGATCTTTGGATTTATCATTTATCAAGTAAACATGAATAGTTTGTATTCCACTCTAGTAATGAGTAACGTTAATTAAATAAAAGTTAGGATAGAAATTTTTACAGATATTTACTTACAAAATAATACCTTAAGCTCATAAAATTACTGAAACCATTTGTATTGTTGAACAGGATTAATCACTTTGGTTAGCAGTCAAATGTGTTAACGGTAGCTTTTCTGTGACATGTTATAATTAAGTATTTTATTATGAAACACAAACCAACTTAAATGAGTAAAATTGACTTGAATCCCGCATGAAGGACCGTAAGTATGTATTGGTGAGGAGTCCTATGCTAAGACTAAGAGGACGTTTAATGCTTCCAGGTTTTCAACGGTGGTCTGACGTAGATCGGTTGATGATTTAAATAAAATTCAACAATCCCCACAACCCTATACTGAAAAACAATACATATCTTGAATTTCCATCTTGCTCATTAATTTGCTTATGTAATAATCAATAAAAGTTTGATTTAAGTAGGATGTTTCACTTTATTTCATTTGAAATGTAATTCTTCTACAGAAGTAGTAAAATAGAAAACACTATTATTCCATATTTTTCACTCATTTAGATCAACTAACTATGGCATACGAAGTCAAATTAGATAGAATACTTCTTAGAGTAAAGATTAGTTTAATTTGGCCTCATTGGAAACTAAGTATTCAAAACTGTGACAATCAATAAATATATAAGTAATAAACAAGCATTTTAGCACGAACCACACTTGTTTATGGTATAACAGAAGGCAATATGCTTACAGCTGATTGTGTGGGATGTACTTCAAAACTGAATCCTAATACATTTGAAAGATAAAGACCATAATCATGAATCTATAACAGAAATCACTGACTTATCTTACAGGATTGGAGAACTTTATAAAGATATCAATCATATCATTTAATTTTATTTTTTATAATTCATAAGCAGGAAAAACTTGAAGGTAAGTTGAAATAAATGTACACATCAATTCGGCGCCCAAATACTATGAAACTATTCGATCAAATTTAGACGAAAGTTCTTATTTATTATTCTATAGTACACAAGTTTATAAACATGTGAAGTTCAGCGGTATTCAATGTTTTTCATCTTAGAATCAGTCATAATTGGAAGTAATGAGTAAAATTTTATTCAAACAATGCATTATATGCAAAGATATAACCTATTTTAACAGAAATATTTCCTTTTTTTTATATATAGTCATTTTGCTTATTTCTTCTTCCTTTCATTATAAGTAAAAAATTTGATAATTTGCATCATCAGCCATCAACAATATTCGTTTTAGGTTGTAACGTATTCATTTCAAATTTACTTTACCATTTAATTGTAAACAAGATAAGTGGAAAAAGTACGTTTAACTCTTATGTTTTCGAATAGAAATATATATTCCACCTTCTTGATATTTGAGAATACTTTTTTTATTCGAGATGTCTGGTTCATCAGGTTACTGTATAGTTAAGATACTATGCTAGTTTGTGATTACCAAAATGTTGTTACTTATGCAAATGTATTATTTCTGTGATAAAACGCACCTGACTATCGGCGTTGAGACTTTAACGACACACGAATCATGCCTCGAGTTACAAACAAATGGGCGGTTTCATGTGTCAATATTTGAATTACCGAGTCTATGGGATGATTTATTATAATACCTATTGACTAAATACTAAACTAAGATTCAATGTATTCGTTGATAAACAAAGCAATAAATAAAAGTGGTCACATGATATTTAAATTGTAATATGAGATGTATTCATATAGGAACAAACAGAATATTCTCTTCCCCACGTGTAATTTACACTTCAGGAGATTAGGACACTTAAATGATGTATATGCTTTTACGGGGTTATTAGACAGGATATCTGTACCAGTTTCCTTCATTGAGAATACTCACATTTGAATAGGACATAAAACAAGAAAAGATGTAGGAGTGTCATATGATAGGTACACTTAAGCATGTGTAGGAATTTATAAATGAAACTTTTATAGTATGGTAACATTAAGAAAGTACACTACCTCACTTCTATGTGAAGTAGACTGTGGTGCTGTCCAGATCTACTACGAAACCTTAGTAATTATACCATCTAGTTCAGAGAACACAAATCATTTTATATTTTTCGAGAAATTGTGTAACGCACTACTAGTCTAGAGTTTTATAAATCAATTTTTCATTGAGAAACCCATCATTATGTAGTACCTGCGTTATATTTAATACTACAACTGGTATATTATAATTGTATATCATGTGTAAAAGTTAAGTCATATTTTTCCAGTTTGCTAGATGAAATAAACATTTATAAAATGTCACCAACATACATAAGTAAAATTCATAAGATAAAAATTGTGCCTAACCTTGTTTTATAGTGGCTCCATGTTTTACTGTTAATGCAATAGTCGGATTTATTCCACTGCATCGAAGTAGATCACCAACTTTCACTGCATCAATCATACCATCTCGACCATCCCAAAAATCGAATAAGTCGAAAACTTCTCGAATATCTATAGGTTTTGTTTAAAATAACATAAAGATGAACTCAATTAACAGCATTATCATTATTAACGATCTTCAGAGGTTACGATTATAGTTGGAAAAAATGTATATATATGATCAATTAAGTATTATAGTGAAGCGATCAAAATTTATGATTTCTTACTTACCTTCGATTTCAGCTTTGGATAATGAGCTCTAAAACAGATAAAATTACAGAATGAACAGAATTATATTGACTAACAATGTGTTAATAGTTTATTTCTTTTTCAAAAATAAATATGAAGTTGTAGAATATGCATGATATAACTTACCATTATTGTTTAAGTAAGAAACTGGAATACAGTAAAGAACACTTAAGTGAACTGTGAAATCAACTAAGTGAAAACTGAATATATGTGTGAAAAATAGAAAATATGTCTTCCAATTAATTGATCGATCGATTTTATTCGAATTCCTTCACTGATAACATCAGTTCACTGAAGAATAGTGTAACTGAAGTAATATTTGGATTGGTTAATTAGTAGTTTTGCGTCCCTATGTATTTATTAAGGGATAAAATATGGATGGAAGTGTGCTACTTTTACATTTCAAAATATTCTTTCCCAATTGTGAAAGTTAACCAATCGTGTACAAGGTGATAATGATAGTTTTAGGTAATTGTACCGATTTCTAAATCGATATTCCATTTTTGACTAACCAATCACAGATAAACCAAATAAGTTATGGTAAATTATTGTGCCAAAATTCTCTGGATTTTATTTTTAGAGTTACGATGTGCCTACTAGTTCAAGTGAATGATATCCTGTGCACTATATCGTTCTGTAAGCTGGTGATTAGAAGCGATCGGTAGAATATTTCAAAACTTGGTTTTGTACTGGCTGCCACTCTTCAAAGCAGCATTATTCTGGAATCTTAGAAAACCAATAGTAATAAGATAGCCAAATCCGTAGTACTTAGTGTCAGAATTGGAGCCGTTACCACTAAGCTATTCGATTTGCAAGATATTTGATTGAATAAGTGGAACAAATAAATTCCACTAGATCCAAATCTCTCCTTCACATAGCAACCAGGTGCAATAATACTACACAGCTGATCGAAATCAATAATTGTTAATCTACCTTTGACTTAGTTCGTGCAAATTTTATTAACGCTTTCTTGATTGACCGTCAAAATACTACCACTTTAGAAAGGTTATTTGACAATCAATTCATTTCTTCAACTATTTACAATTGAAACTCACTTGATGTTGAAAAGATCAAGAACGAAGATTCTAGCAGAATAGAATGAATTCATTTTATTTCGTAGGTTCTCGTCAGCTGCTTACAACCTGTGATATTTAAAATTATAATTACACAATAGGTTTGGTTGGAAGTTATATTGAAGACATATTCGTATAGTATAGCAAGGGTGTAGATGAAATTACTAAATTGAATATTGTAAATATATACCTAATAAGAAAGAATATTCTACATCATTAATTGTGACAACAGTTCAAAAAGGTTAGAAACAATTGATTACATAATGAGTAAACATTGTTAGGAGCATAGTGAATAGAGTTTAGTTGAAAGATTATTCATTTGAAAGGTAGTTGAAAAATAAAAATAAAAAATCGATGATGTAATAAATACAAAAACAAAACAAAAATATTTTAAGGTGCAGCTAAAGAATATCTGTCACCAAGGCAAGGAAAGATTAACAACCATCTCCTTTTGAACATATAGGTCAGGTTTTTGACGCCTGATGGCAACGGCTTCAGCAAACTTCAAAAGACTGGAGTTTGGCTGCTTACTAATCTTTCAACTGAACTCTATTCACTATGCTCCTAACAATGTTTACTCATTATGTAATCAATTGTTTCTAACCTTTTTGAACTGTTGTCACAATTAATGATGTAGAATATTCTTTCTTATTAGGTATATATTTACAATATTCAGTTTAGTAATTTCATTTACACCCTTGCTATACTATACGAATATGTCTTCAATATAACTTCTAACCAAACCCTCTCATGTAAGTCATTTAAACTCATTATCTAATTATGATTTATAAATATCACAGGTTGTAAACAGCTGACGAGAACCTACGAAATAAAATGAATTCATTCTATTCTGCTAGAATCTTTGTTCTTGCTCTTTTCAAAATGATAAAGGCAACTATGTGTAGGAAATCACTTGGTGTTGTTTACTTGTATCTTCCCATTATTATTTAGGACTGCAATTGATCAGTCTCATATTGGCATATGTGCATAATGCTCGGACTCCATCGATATTGCCTTAATTCACAAGCTTTATAAGCAAAGATGGATAGTAGCTAGCAGTGGAATCCAGGACGTGCGCTTCGATCTACTTGGGACACGTCAGACGGAAGTTCCTGCATTCTAGAGTTGATGTTCACTCTAGGACTCGAACCCAGTACTGTCCGCTTCAAATGCCATCGCGTTATCCACTTAGCTAGTATGTCCTGATATTCACCCGCTTGTGCGATGATATCAGCCATGACAAAAAAATATTTAAACAAAAACAACTCACTGTTATCAATGTTGATTACTAAATATTTAAAATCTATAAAATTATAAAAGATTGGGAATATATTTTACCAAATGATTTAATTTCATTTTGTCATTTGTATTTACTAATCAATAAGGATTAAAAAAATTGATCTAATCAAACGTCTAGCAATTCATAGAAAAAGTTGATTAAAGTCAATAAAGACTAAACAATACCAACTTATCATTGAATTTGGTTTACCACGGACTAATTATTTAAGTATACCTATCTTAAGATGATCCATATATATGAACATTATAACTACTGAATGATTAAGTATAATTTTGTGATCTCAAATTTTAGGCACACCTTTTGTATGAAAGCTAGTAATATCGACCAGTTGTTATATATAAAATAAGTTAAATAGAGTTTGAACCCAATGTGCGAAGATCAATTGTTTTAATTATTAAACCATCACTCCACTTGAACCTATAAATAAAAAAGATTCTAGTGGATATATCAGTTTATAAAATCACCCTATTCACTTTCCAATCTTAAAAGAATTTTCATGAAAATCTTTAACAAATATTCTTAGAAAGTACTACTTTGTACTGGTAAACTACAACTTCATTCCAAAGTTGTTTTTGTTCTGATAGATAAATTCTTGATAAAAAAAATATTACACATAGTTGATTTAAAAGATCAAGCAGCGACTGTTCTGATATATCATTGACTAAAAAGTATCTGTCTTTCATTTTGATTGATTCTATCTACATAGATAAGATTGATATGCCTTCAAATATAACTTATCCACTGACAAACCTTAACAAGAAGGGTGTAAATAACAAGAACTGTAAATGAACTAAATGTATTCATTTTAGTAAATAACTTGTGTTTTTTTTTTACCTATGTTACTACATGTCATTAACCTCATTATTAGACATGAAAAGAAGTTTGTTTTTGAAATTTTGGATCTTATCAAAGTAAAGAAATTTATTTATATAAATGTAAACTAAGTCACTTTGTAATAACGTTTTCTTTTCCTTTTCTTTTTTATCAAACAGTAGATGGAGTTATGTTTTTTTCTTAGTTACTGACACGTTTGAACAATTTTTTTCAGAATTGAAAATAAAATTCAAATGCACCACGAAAATGTAGTCACTGTCGGATAACTATACTAACTATTTAGTTAAAGTTCAAAATTTGTTCAATAATATATATAACCATTAAGTTATCAAAAGATAGAACTGAATACCTAAGGAATTTTGTAGAAGTTACTACTTTATTGTTAAAACTGTCAATCTTAATCCGAAAGGCTTATTTTGTTTATTTATTTTTATTAAATTTGTGATGTATAATGATTTAAGGGCTAATGATATTCTGAACATGAACAAATGAAATAAAATAGATCATGATCAAAAACTGATAGTAACCAACGATTTTTTTCAGAATGAGGTCCTGAAGAGATTGTAATAATTTTAACAGTTGAATCCATGAGTCTATCTAAGCTAGACAATAACTGAAAACTTAGAAGTACTGGATAGCCGTTTCGTCCTAATATGGGACACCTCAGCAGTGATCTAGCTTAGATTAACTCGTGAATTCTGATAATAGTTGAGTCCGATTCGTATCGGATGGAGACAGTTATTCACCTCAAACAATGGATGAAAGGTTGCACAACATCATTAATCAACTGAATTTAGGCATTAACACCGTTGGATTCTGACTCAGTGGTCTGGGGGTTAAGTGTTCACGTGAGAGATCGAAGGTACTGGATTCGAGTCCTGCGTGTGGGATAGTGGATATGCACTTCTGTGGAGTCCCATACTAGAACGAAACGGCCGTCCAGTGCTTCCAGTTTCGCAACACTTGTCTAGTTTAGATAAACTCATGAGTTCAACTGTTAAGATTTTTTATTAAGTGCACGTTCATACCTGTCCCAGTATCCTGATATGATAAGAGGAATTTTCAAATTTCTCTCCATAAAATGTACACTAAATTGTAATCAAATTATAATGTGAACTGTTTAATTACAATATTTAATTTAAAATTTATCAGAAAGGGGTTTTGTGGAGATTGTAGTAATTTAATAGTTGAGTTCATGAGTCCATTGAAGCTAGACCACTATGGAAAACCTGAATGTATTGGACGACCGTTTCGTCCTAGTATAGGACTCTTCAGTACTCACGCGTAAGGCCGAAGGTGCTATATTCGAGTCCCACGTGAGGGATCGTGGATGCACACTGCTAAGGAGTCCGATATTAGAACAAAAGAGTCGTTCAATTCTTCCAGGTTTTCTATGATAGTCTAGCTTTAATTAAGTCATGAACTCAACCATTAAATTTGCAATTTCTTAAAATTTATTTCATACTGTTAATCTCAATGATGAATATCTATAATTTATTTGTTAAATAAAAATAAAATTAATTATCATTGTCAAGAAATTAAGTTGACTTAGTATTTAAAAAAAAAGCAACAACAATAACATCAGATCATTTGTTTTGTTCTTAATTCAACTCAGTATTCATTAGCGAATGTGAATAGCTTAGGATTCAAATTTCAGAATTCCTATTAAATTTCAAAATATTACTGACCTAAAATACATCCATGTATTGGACAATAAACTCATTATTTACATTTCAGTTATATTAACTAAACCTAAACCCATTCAGTAAATGGTATCATAAGATATTCGCTTAGTTATTAAAAGTGTACGAAATAGTAAACTGTTGCATGATTGAATAATAAGTTGCAATTGTGATAATTTTCCTTTGTGAATACTAAAACGAAACGACCGTCCAATGCTTCCAGATTTTCTATGGTGGTCT